GGAGAGTGATCCGTTCCTCCTCCATCCTGTGTGAGTGCGTTTTTCCGGGGGGTCATCATTTGTGGGGTTTCGTGATGATGTCTCACATTCAGGATGGGTTGGAGAAAGGAAACTCACAATGCGCTCTCTGTATATATATTGTATTGGATGTACAGTGCAGCTTGGTGCTGGGAAGCTGCTGCGTGGTTAGGAGCTTGCTGGTTCGGAAGCGTGGATTAGAGAGAGCTGTTGTGTGCTGCCTGGCCGTAGGTAGAAGAAAGGAGGTCACAGCGAGGTTGAGAGCTTATATAGCGGACGTAGGTGTGGCTTGATGGCTGACCTGCGCTTTGTCAGATGTCGCAAGTAGCCGACCTTAGATCAAGAGGCATTGGCTGGGTAACCCGAAAAGGGATCGGCTAGTCAGTGACAAACGGCAGTTGTAGTTGTATAGTGCTTCACAGGACCATTGTTTCAGCCTCACAGTATCTCACTCATTTTTCATACACCTGGCACATTGCAAGATGCTGCAGCATCCTATTGGAAATGTAATAAAATAAAATAAAGTACAGTTGAGTCTGGATTTACGCGGTTTTCGTTTACGCGTTTGGTCATTTACGCGGTGATCAAAAACTCATAAATATAATTCGAGGTACAATATCTTCACGTACAGTACCCTCGTTGCCACTGACGAACACGCCTGAACATTTTAGAAAAAAATCATCAATCAGTTTTTTAAGAATACAACTTTAAATACTGCTCTTACTGTCCCCGCAAAGTAACCAAAAGTAAAACAAAATAATTTGAGTTGGTATGTTCTTAGCCAGATCACCTCGGATGTAAATGGCCCGAATCATTAAAAAAATTACTCAGCTAATTTTTGAGATGTAACTCTTCACATCTACTACTACTACTTTGTTGTCGCTCGGAATCGAGTACGACGATCATCCAGCCATGAGTTATTACCGTATATCACGGCTATAAGACGAAATTTGAACATTAAAAAAATCTGCCCAAAGTTAGGGGGTCGTCTAAACCACCAAGTTTAAAATTCTTACCTCTTAAATATTGTGGTTTAGTGTGTCAAGAGTGGTGATGAAAACATCGTAAGCCACTCACAAGGTCTTACCACTAATTATTTTATACTGAAACTTACGTTTGGCAAGCTGGATTCAAATTAAGATTACCGGTATATTAAAATAATAAAAATGTATTATAAACCTGTCTAACATACCGTAAAAGAGATTTATACCCCTATAATAAACACAGCTATCATCACACACCCCTCCCCACGCCCCCCCCCCATTTGCCAGTGAGGAGCCGTGGAGGTGGTCAGTAATGCATACCGGTATCGGTATATTTACTCATAATAATATTTATCTCCTATAAATAATTGATTTAAATTTTATTTTTTTCCAAAGAATATTCAGTAAATGAGTGCATTAATTCTTGAAACTATCGACGGTTAATTACAGACGCTCAAGTGACGTCACTAGTGTTTACACTACACCAGCTGGTAATATTTGATGCCATTACTTGAAGTGAATTGGCCTTATTTTAAGTAACTAACTATAAATAAATACAAAAATTAAAAAAAAAAGATCAAAACTGAGAAATAATATACTGTATGTATGTTGTATTGTCAAAGTAAGAGGAACAATTGTGTAAGTACGTAATATTTTTTCACTCAAATCCTAATGAAACACTACTGGAGAACATTCCTTTGTCGCAAAACAGTTTATAAATTAAAGAAAATAATTACAGTGTGTTTAATATATTACAGTATATTATAAATAAATAAATAAAACAAATAATTCGGTAAATCTATTTAAAGTAAATGGAAAATAAGCAAACATGTTATTTACCAAGACCCTTCCGTCTGGCTCAGGGTGAGATGTAGGGGAGATAAAGAAGGCTATTTATAGCCCATCAGAAGTGACCAGTACCCTAATGCACCATAAATAATTCATTGAACATTCATTTTTTGTACATAGTATATTCAGTATATATATATATATATATATATATATATATATATATATATATATATATATATATATATATATATATATATATATATATATATATATATATATATATATATATATATATATATATATATATTTGTGTAATAAATGTATGTAGTAAGTACATACTGGTAACCTTTTTCACTCAAATCCTAATGAAACACCACAATTAGAATACGGTGGTTGCTGTTGAACCACATGTTGTATAAATAGTCACACCACCGAGACGAGAGAACACTCCCACCACGCTTCAGTGACGTCACTAGTGTTTACACTACACCAGCGGGTATAATTTGATGACATTACTTGAAGTGAATTGGCCTTATTTTAAAAAATCAAGGATGGTTGGTAAAGGACTACTGAGTCAGTGGGTAAGTGTCACATTTGGGGTACTGGTCTTATACAGCAAATAGAGCTCAAAAGCTACTTTTTAAATGGAAATTTGGGGGGGGCGTCTTATGCACCCCGCCGCCTTATAGGCCGTGATATACGGTAGGATGTCACCTCCGTTGGTGAGCTCTGGGGTGACTAGAGAGGCTGATACAAGATCGGCAGTGTCATCCAAAGATGTTGCACGTGTGGAGGGCTACATTTAATGCAGGAGGAGCAGCGGCAGCGTCTTTCCGGTGTTGGCGCTTGTCTGCCTCGGTATGCAGTCGGTCTAACTCGGAAGTATTGTCACCTCATATGGTGCTCCTCCAAGCGTTATGGTGTGGAGTAGTCGTCTCCCAGGTGAGAGGATCAAATTGGTACTTTTCAGGTTTGTCTTAAAACTATACTACCTTTTCAGTTGCCCACCAGCGTTATGTTTACTATTCGTTAGGTGACTGTAAAGTAGCTGCTTTGGCAGTCTACTGTCGTCCCTGCGGGTAACATGGCCAGTCCAACGTAGTTGTTCATGGATAATGGTAGCCTCAAAGCTCCTACAGTTGGTGTCTACTACCACTACTACATTATAGCATCCGTTGAATGAATACAACGCTTGCCTCCAATCCCAAGGGTCACTGATTCGATGCTAGGGCATTCCTATTCCACCCAGCTGTAAATGGGTACCGAAATTTGCTTTTGGGAACTGAAGGCTGTCTAGCAGTGCTGATTATGCTGTCTCCTTGTGTACCAAAGGCTTTGTATACTGTGTGCTGCATCCACACTGTTCCAAACAGGCTGTTACGCATACGAAACCCACTACTAATTCTTTTACTACTGCTACTTCCAAGCTACAATGCAAACCTACTAAAACCACAGCTAACATAACTTACCCATCCTCAGTATAACAATACCTTGTACTGTACACCCACAACTACCATTATAAGGGTGGGGATTTTCTTCTTCTCCCTTATATTCTTATTTCAGACTTTTCTTTATCTTATGTCCTTCATTTGTTCTGTCAAATTATTTCATTTCATTTCATGGTTACTCATAACCTCTGACCTTTGGTAGCATGGCGAGGGTTAGGACACATGGGTACTGTAATTCTGGTATCAAGTCATTTGACAAAAGTAAAGGTGAATACTGAGGGAAAATGACACCCCTAATATACTCTAAAAAATGGTATATTAATATGAAATTAAATTAGGTAAAAGATGTCATTAACATACAACTACAAGGTTCAACTCCTTGGCCTTACTCATCTGCAATTCCACTTAGATACTCTTGCTTCTACCACATTACTGGTGGTACATTACATAGACTACACCACATGACAAACTTATATATGGTACCTTCACTAGAACTGTTAGTAGTACATATGGAGGATGCACATGCACATAACACATTTTTACTGATACTAACAATTTTATGGGTTCACTACCCAACATGGGATAATTATTTCCAGTTAATTATCCCCAACCATATATAACAAATACTGTGGACCATATAACTGTACGGAGTGTCCCAGGGTAGAACACTGGCGTCTCAACAAATGAAGATCGCTGTTATGGTCGGTTGAAGTCTGACACGTGGCAAGGGTCTGGGGTCTAGTTCCCTAGAGGCGGATTGAAGCAGTTCAATCCTGCCGAATCAGCGACATCATCCAATACAGCTAACTGTTAGGTAGCCACCGACCCCAGGCAGCCGGTGGGGTGTTCAAATAACCCACACACTGGATCTGGGATAATTTGAAGACGTCAAGGAAGGGATGATGATGACTCGATCACAAACAATCTTTCGTCTAGCAATGACAGACGACATTTACTTTATAGTAATTCTTACACTGGGTAAATGACAATTTCACTGTTACAACATGAACACTGATATTCACTAAATTGACTAAGTTAAACTGAATGACTATATCGGCGGGGAACACTCGCTCACATACATGGGATAATTTGGAAACATCAAAGAAGGGCTGTTTCTCCTTCTCGCACAGGTTTATATACGGCATGAGTTGCCAGAGGTGGCTACTCACGCAATGACAGAAATTACATTCAAATCCACTGCTACACATTCAAGGATGACCCTCAGTTGACACGGGTCTGGCGAATTTCTTAAGTTGATTCACATAAACTAATTCGAGATAAAGCTTGCCAGGAAAAAGTGGAATATATACGTTGACAACTGTTAGTACCCCAAGGAGCCTTTGTGTATATACGTTGAGATCTTGGAGAAAATGGCTGGCACCTAAAGAGAGGGAAAACGTGATTCTTCCTAGGGATAACTCACCAGTTATCCACATGTTTTGCGGGCGTGGAGTATAATATGAATCATCAGGTTTCAAACAGACCAGCCGTCATTGTGACCATGACACCATAACTAGGGTTCTGGCTGTCTGCGGTCAGCAAAAATGGCAAACATGTTTAGAGGAAAGTGCCCAGCGTGCTGCCGCCTGTATTGCATATGCAATGGGTAAATTGATCTACATTGTCTCTTCGTATTTCTTTCCCACCCAATTTTGTGTTCATGACTACCCAAATTAGTATCCAACGTAGAACAATGGAACGCAAAGAGGCTTCTTCACATTCATTCTTGTGTTAACTACAGTAAAACACTTTCAAGCTATTAGATTAAAACCTCTCGTATTAAAAAAAGTAATCGACATTTCTGACCATGGGGGTACATACAGTATATGCTTCATAAACATAATTCTACTTAATCTTTATATTTGCTACAAAGAAATACATATATCAAATAATTGGTGTCTTCCATATGGGTAATAAGAAGTGAGTATTGTATAGTGGCAGCAGGGAAGCTGCCCGGGAGGGGTAGTGCAGGACTGTCTATCATGTCCTTGTAAGACTACAAGATACAAACACTGGCAGAGAGCTTTACTTGTGTCGTAAAATGGAAGATTCCATGGTTGAACACGAGTAGAGCGCTCCTGCCCGATGACTGTATCTCTGGTGGTTACTCAGGGATATGACGGACATAACACTGTTCCACAATTGTGACTCGGTTCACTATAACAAACTTTCTTATTGATGCAACACACAATTACTGTACAGCCGAGATAAAGAATAATTACTGTTTAGACTATAATATACTGCAGTGTGTGTACATAAACAGTACTAGATACTAATATTAATGGGGATTATCCCACCCGGGCGTGGGTCACGGACCCACATTGGGGCTCGGGGAGCTAAACATATACATCCCGGTACAGGTGTTAGCTTCATCACAGTATAAGTGTGAGCTTCATCACAGTACAACACAGTACAGGTGTTAGTTTCATCACAGTACAACACAGTACAGGTGTTAGTTTCATCACAGTACAACACAGTACAGGTGTTAGTTTCATCACAGTACAACACAGTACAGGTGTTAGTTTCATCACAGTACAACACAGTACAGGTGTTAGATTCATCACAGTACAACACAGTACTGGTGTTAGTTTCATCACTGGGTGAAGAAAAATAATACAAATGTCAAGGTATAGAATTCGTTTAATAACAACAACAACAATGTCAGCAAATTGCTGCCAAATGGGCCTCAGTCCTAACATGCCCCCGTGTAACCTAATATAACCAGACCTACCCATTAGAATTAAAACCTTCTCCTCTTAGGCCTTTGTGGTTTCGGGGGCACGGGAAGGTCTCAGTACAGTATGCCATCACTGTTAAGTACTACTATTCTACTATTCTTTGTTGGCAAATATCAAATGCATATAATAAAAAAATTGAATGGATAGCAAATCAAGAGAAATTAGATGAGGTTCTATACCCTGCCTGGACTGACATGTAACAATCAGTGACAGGAGAGAGAGGTGTTTCATGTGGTGGTAATAGCGGAGTTCAGGCTGTGTTGAGGGACCAATCATAGAAGTATTGTACTTGTTTCTTGTCTGTTGATTCGAGGGTAGTAACCTGCAGGGCCTTGATGGCGTCACACTCAGCCTCGCCCACGTACTCCTGGATCCACCTGTGTCGTGTCCAGAAACATGTTAGTAAACACAGTTGCTGAAATGACTACCACTGTTGACTATACTCCAGCTCCCGTGGACCAGATGCACTCAGACTCACAAGAAGCTACGGTGGCTGGATATATGGACCCTAATTCTAATAAGCCTCAAACTATCCTAACCTGACCAAGAGGATTGGGTCCAATAGAACTGGGTCCCATTTCTAATGATCAGGGTAGATTGAGGCCTATTAGATTTGGGATCCATTTGACCTGCCACCCGATAGGAGATCCCATCTCCTTTCACTTCACTCTATGTGCTTGAAAATATTAATTCTTTGCTTTGAAGTGTGAAGCAATGATGATGACATGAACAACGTAAATATTTATTGCTTGAACATGATTTAAAGTAAATATAATGTTCTTAAGAAGTAAGAAATTTAATTTAGGTACACAGGGTGAAGTCTAAGTAAATTAAAGCTGATACTTGCCTTACAACGCTGCGCCGCCTTTATACTTGCATGCACACACACACACACCACTTCTTCCCCGAGAAGTCCGTCAGATCTCACCCAGCTGACTTGCCCTGGATCACACCTCGGATCAAAAGACTTATGCAACAGAGAGACAGAGCCTTTCGTCTCAATGACCACATCTGCTACAGGTCCCTTCGCAACCGAGTCATCCGCGAAATACGCACTGCAAAGAAGTCCCACTACCCAACCAAATTACAACACCTGAAGCAGACCAACATCAGTCAATGGTATGGTAAGCTTAAAGAACTCTGTGGACTAAACAATAAGACACACCCCCTCCCCTTCCTTAGCCATCTCACTAATGTTGACGCAGCTGAGCAAACAAATAACCATTTCGCTACTATATGCCAGACGCTCCCACGGCTTGACACAACCACTCTCCCTGCTTACCTACCAGCCCCCCTTCCCACTGACTTAGTAGAAGAATTTGACGTAGCAAAGCGCCTGGACAAACTAAAATTAAAACGCTCTACCACCCCCATTGACTTACCAATGAAACTCTTCAAGGAGTTCTCCCCGGAGCTTGCTAAACCCCTCTGCTCCATCATCAATGCTTCTCTCAGTCAAGCCAGATGCCCAGCTGACTGGAAGACCTCTTATGTATCACCAGTGCCCAAGTCAACCAGCCCACAATCCTTAAATCAGCTACGACCTATTGCAATCACCCCAATACCCAGCCTAATCTGTGAAAGTTTTGTGTTTGACTGGGCTTATGCTGATATTGCAAGAGTCGTAGACCCTCAACAATTTGGCAACATGAAAACTTCCTCCACCACTCACTGTCTTGTCAGCTTTCTCGATTACATATACCGCCATCTCGAGAAACGAAAAACGTCTGTAGCTGTCGCCTTCATTGATTTCACTAAAGCGTTCGACCTAGTCGACCACAATATAATCATAAACAAAGCTATTGACCTCGGGCTTCGGAGAAGTCTCATACCATGGCTTACAGACTTCCTCAGTGACCGACGCCAAGCTGTACGCTTCCGAGGGGCTGTCTCCACCTTTCAGTCACTCACCTGTGGCGTCCCCCAAGGCACCAAGATGGGACCACTCTGCTTCCTTATGCTCATCAATGATGCCCTAAGAGAAACCCCTGCTCGCTGGAAATATGTTGACGACTCCACCATTGGGATCAGCGTCAACAATTCTCCCAATATACACGCCCTTCAGAGTTTATTGAGCAGTCTCCCAAAACTGGGCCACCAACAACATATGCCATCAACCATACCAAGACCATGGTTATGCACATCAACCTCCCCTCCGACGTTGTCTCACCCCCTTCCATTATTTTAGGTCCCAATACACTCCAGGTTGTATGTTCCACTAAGTTCTTCAGCGTCACCATAGACAGCAAACTAAATTGGAAACCACCGTCAGTGAAGTTGTAAAATCCTCCAGTTTTCGTCTCCACCTCCTCCGCCGACTCAAGTCCCTCGGAGTTCCTGCACCCGAGCTCCTCAGTGTTTTCTCAACATTCATACTTCCCAAGCTCACCTATGCCTCCCCTACCTGGTCTTCCTCCCTAAATGCCACACAACGTAAACACCTAGAAAAAGTGCAAAAGAGAGCATACAAGATTATTCTCTCCCTTCCTACTCCACATATCAAGAAGTGCTCAACACACTGACCCTCTCGGCTCTCACTGACCATCACCACGACCTCATCTACCAGAATTTGGTAAAGCTTCTACACCATCCCCCGACACCGGCTCCTACTACCACCTGAATCCCTAGTCCGAGAATTGCTGTTCGACACCACAACCTCATCCAGCCCATACGTGCACGAACTGATCGCTATAAGAACAGCCCAGTCCCAACCATTGTAAAAATTATCAATAACTTGTAATAAATCAGTGTATTCACTCCCAGTAAACACTACTCCTTGCACTGTCACTATGTTGAAATGAACTGTAGTTTGAGCTTTTCCCCATTTAGTTATTATATGTCTTATTTGTGTCACTTATGTTACTTTTATATTATTTGTAATTCGTAACCCATTCCCCAAATATGTAACTGTATATTTTCAGCCTTCTGGCTGCCAAGCTCTTTCAATAAACCGTTAATTATTATTATTACGCTTACACACGCCCACGCAAGCGCGCACACGCACGCACACACACACACACACACACACACACACACACACACACACACACACACACACACACACACACACACACACACACACACACACACACACACACACACACACACACACACACACACACACACACACACACACACACACACACACACACACATATATATATAAATATAAATATAAATATAAATAAATATATATACATATATATAATATATATATACAGTGAGTGCGCTATAACGAACAGTTCTACGAATATTCCTATAACGAGCGGTTTTACCTATAAAATTGAGAATGCTTATATGACGAACTCCTAGCGAACATTATTTAATTTTTTTTTCTAATTTATTGTTTTTATTACAAATATTAATGATATTCTTTATTTCAGGGGTTTTAGATGCATCTTTATGCACTTTTACAATTTTACAATTATATTATATTTTCAGTGTTAAATTGGTTGTATTTGGGGGCCTGGAGCGGATTAATCCTATAGTCGAATATAACGAACAGGTTCTAAACCAATTAGATTCGTTATAGCACTGTATATATATATATATATATATATATATATATATATATATATATATATATATATATATATATATATATATATATATATATATAAATATAATATAAATAAATATAAATATAAATATAAATATATATATACAGTATATATATATATATATATATATATATATATATATATATATATATATATATATATATATATATATAAATATATATATATATATATATATATATATATATATATATATAATATATATATATATATATATATATATATATATATATATATATATATATATATATATATATATATATATATATATATATATATATATATATATATATATATATATATATATATATATATATATACATGACCCTGTTTATGAGCCTGTGTTTATGAAATTTGGTTAACGAACTGCCTTCATGAGGATCTTCAATTGGTTGAACAAAATTCGGGTTAATTAATTTCTTACGAACCGACCTCAACATGTTTTAAGCTTGCACTGGCAGACAGCCAGCTTAATATCAGTCCGCCAATACGATTAATCGGTTCTAGGGCTTAAATTCTAACTATTTTAGTAAATATCAAGAAGTTTATACTATTCAATAATTTTAAAAGTTTAATATTCAATTTTAGTCATTTTAACAATTATTGAACATAATTAATAAAGTGACTAGTTTAAGCGCAGCATCAGCCTCTTAACACAGCAAATAGGCGTTAGTCTCTCTGTTTTCACTGGAGTAACATCTTGCTTGAGACTCTCTTCAACTAAACGCTTTTCTGTGTTTCCAAGCAAATTATTGGTCATTTTGAAATATATTTTACATATTGACAATATATAATGCAGTACAGTGTTGATTTAAAAATAATCTTGAAATACACAAGAGAACTAAAATTTTATGGGTGAAATGGTGCCATGGGGTGACTTCTCTTCCAACAATGCCTCTTCTTCCTTCTCCTCCACCCATTTGTAATTCCCATCATAGTCATCATCATCCAGGAGCCTTCTACATACATACCTCAAGTAAGTGAACTTTTCTACCATTTTTGTTGAATTTAGGAAATTTTAGGTGAGCTGGAACCAATTACCCAAAACCCATTGAAACAATGGTTTCGGGTTAACGAACTTTTAGTTAGCGAGCGACCTTCTGGAGGATGGAGTTAGATTAACCGAGGTCACTAATATATATATATATATATATATATATATATATATATATATATATATATATTTATATATATATATATATATATATATATATATATATATATATATATATATATATATATATATATATATATATATATATATATATATATATATATATATATATATATATAAACTGTATTCTGAACCGACCTCAACATGTTTTTTAAGCTTACTGACCGGGCAACCAGCTTTGATATCAGTCCGCCAATACATTAATGTCGGTTCTGGGGCTTAAATTCCTTACTTTCAGTACACATGGCCAAATATCAAAGTTTATACTATTCAATAATTTTTAAAAGTTTAATATTCGAATTTTTGATCACTGTAATTATTAGACAAATTGAAAGTAAAGTGACTAGTTTGTCTGTGACATCAACCTCTTAACAGCAAACAGGGCGTGATCTCTCCTGTTTCAGTGAAATTAACATCTTGCTTGAGACTCTATTCAGCTAAGCCTTTTTCTCATGTTTTAAGCAAATTATTGGTCATTTGAAATATGTTTATATATTGACAATATATAATACCCAGTGCAGCGTTGAAGATTTAAAAATAATCTTGAATTAAACCAGAGAGCTAAATTTTATGCTGGGTGAAATGGCACCATGGGGTGACTTCTCTTCCCTTAATGCCTTCTCTT